ATATATATATATATATATAGATATATATATAGATATATATATAGATATATATAGATATAGATATACAGATAGAGTGAGTTGAAGCATTTCATTGGCTCTGTTGTTCATTTGCACTTTCGAGATGTAAAACATCTGGCATAGTTTACCACGTGAAGGGCAGTCTGCAATTGTGTTTTCCATTTGTGTATTGTGCATTATTACAATGCAATTGATTCCATGTTATATATATATATATATATATAGATATAGAGTGAGTTGAAGCATTTCATTGGGTCTGTTGTTCATTTGCACTTTTGAGATGTAAAACATCTGGCATAGTTAACCACGTGAAGGGCAGTCTGCAATTGTGTTTTCCATTTGTGTATTGTGCATTATTACAATGCAATTGATTCCATGTTAATTCTCCATTCCTTCCATTTTCTGCACCACTTATTCTCATGATGGTTTCAGGCAAGATGGGAGTTTTCAGTTTTACCCAAAGTTTTGAAGTTTTATATTCCATTTAAAATTTTGAAATTGATGTTTGTAAGAATTTGTCAATGTGAATAAAATTTGTTCCAAATCATTCTACCAGTTTTATTAACACAAGACACCACCTGCTGACGAAAGTGAGGAGTGACAATTACGTAGTCATCATTTACAGGCAGGTGAAAATTCAATTGGGATGATGTACAAATATGCAGGAATACTCTTCTGCATCCACGTTGGTGAAGTATTTATGGATAAAGTCAGCAACCAAGAAAGAATGTTTATTTACACCAATAATGCTTTGAAAAACATTTTATATTGTAGATCAAATATGTTGTCCTTATACAGGAAGAAAAACAGATAAAAAATGCTTTTAATTATGGTGGCTATACATTATTCGTCATCAAAAGTGTTTCAATTATCCATTGAAAGTGAAGTGATAAAAGAAATGACATTGGTCAAATTCAAGCTTCAATAAATGTTACTTCTCACACCAGTTGAGGAGCCATAATATAGTTTGGCCCAAACACCAAGCAAAACATAGATGGCT